GTAACTCTGGCATCTTACTGGAGGATGGGAGCTCTGGCCTAAAGCAGAAAACAGCTCTAACTAAGTGACGAGAAACCAGATTCTAACATTTTCTACTGCTATTACCCATTTTTTGCACCTAAAAAGTACACAGGCCAGATTCTATGAACTCCTAAACCCATACAAACCCACCTGCAAATAAAGGGTAAAAGTCCTGTCAGAAGAGCCAAGTATTGGGGTTCAAACAGATAAATTTTCATCCACATATTTACAGCATGAGCTTAAGGCAATATGCCAGGAAATTAATCTAAAGCTGATATGAGAAATATAATCAAGAGCTATTTATTTTAATTGCTTCATCTGGGACCAGACTATCACTTATTGACCAAATATATAATTTTCCTCAGTTGCACTTGTTAGCCACACTTAAGGATGCCTCACTAGCCAAAACTCAAGAGATTTAACCAATTGACCTTTTTTTTTTAATAGTTTATTTTTACATCATTTTGTGCCTTTTTCCATGGACTCCCCCATGGACTTCCCATCACCAATTCACCCTTCTGCCATCACCATAGTCCTGTGCACTGCTCCCACCCCCCATTTTTTATCCCATTCCCCACTCCACTCCTGTGAAATGTCTCTAGTATATAGTTGTTCATTATTTTCCCCCCTGGTCCTTTATGTTCCTGCTATGAGTGAAACCATCCAGTAGTTTTCTTTTTCTTTATGGCTTATTTCACTAAGCATGGTTCCTTCCAGCTCTACCCATGTTGCTGCAAAAGGCATATGTTCATCTTTTTTTTAATATTATCATAGAGTAATATTCCATTGTGTATATGTACCCCATCTTTTTAATCATCTACTTTTGGGCATTTGGGTTGATTCCATGTCTTTCCTAATTGTAAATAAAGCAACAATAAACATTGGGGTACAGGTGTCTTTTTGAATCAGTGTTTTTGTGTCCTTTGGGTAGATACCTACGAGTAGAATTGCTGGGTCATATGAAAGCTCCATTTTTAGCAGTTTGAGAAGCCTCTGAATAGTTTTCCATAGTTAACCAATTGATCTTTTGAAGACTCATCCAGTATTGAGTTTTGTGGTGCTGTCTATAACACTCAACGACCAGCAACCCTCGTTATTAGAGGAAGTCCCACAATATCTACCATCCATATCTGAGACAAGGCAGGAAGCAAGTGGCCAAAAGGAAGGTCAGTGGGGCTAAAAGAAGCAGACACAGTGGTCAAGTCAGCAGCTGAGCACACCATGTGGGCCTTCGACTGCATTCCAAAGGCAGTCAAACATAAATAATAGCACTGGTTAAGCACACTTCTTTCTCACATCCACTGGGTGTGAAAAATTGGAAGCTGATTGCAAAGTCTGCACTCATAGAAGCAAATTGTGATTTCAAAAGAAAAAGTGGATTCAGAATGGTCAAAGCACTTGTAGCAAGTATTTTAAAATTGAATGACTGCTGCCCAAAAGACATATGCTAAGGAACTTTTACCATAAAGTCTTTAAAATCAGAAACAAACAACAGAAGACTCCCAAAGGCAAAAAATCTTGCATTATTAAATGGTGCTGGCTGAGAAACAGCTGGCCACAGGTGGCCAGCAGATGTGCCAGAGGGGGCCCTGTGAACCCCCAGGGTGGCAGCCAAAGGCATCTTTGGAAGCAGTATTCTCTTTGTATGAAAACCACACAAATAAACTGAATTATCATCATCAATATCGAAAGAATAATTCTCACTCTGGACTAATGACCCTAATTTGAAATGTCATCTGTATTTACACTCAGAAACTGCTAGTTTTTAGATCTTATCATTTAAAAGTCTCACTATACCCTCTCCTTGCTCTGAAGGCTTTTTATATTTTGAACAAAACATAATAAAATTCAGTCATGAATAATTTAATCTCTAATCTTCCAATTAAATTTTTAATTTATTTTAAAAGAAAAAGCTTCAATGACCATCATAAAATTTGACTTTTCTAACTTAATATCTTAAATATTTAAGCAATAAGCAAGCATTATGTTGTAATTTAGCAAAACAATAATAGTTCACATCCCATTTTTGAAACAGATATAAATTGATGAACATAGCACAGAAGTGGATTCCAAGAACAAATACAACAAGCTATTTTCCTGCACTGGTGGGATTACAATAGTTTTGTTAACATTTTTGTCTTGTTTTCTGTACTTCCTATAATGAGCACGTTTTACTTTTGGAAAACAAATGTATGTGTATGTGTGTATAACCCCATATGTGTGTATATCATATATGTATATATACTTATATCTACATTATATCTGTATACAATATATGCATATACATTATATTGTGTTATATATACATGTACAAAACAAACTAGGTGTTATATACATGTATTACATATATATACATATATGTATGTATAATTATTTAGGAAACAAATGAATTAGGAGTTGTTTCTGTGGCACAAGGATCTGGCATGCACTTTTCCTTAGGTGCATAGACTTTTTCTGACAGTCTATTTCTTCCGGGGCTATATTGAGTAAATTCTGAGGTCCCTGCAGAAACATCCAAGATCCCAGCCCTGCAAGGTGACCTTGACACCAAAAGCCTAGCTACCAGGTAGAACCTACAGGTTTTAGCTAATTTAAGTATTACAACATAAATTCAGACTAAATTCTATTTAGTTTAATATCTGTAATGACTTATTGCAATATGTTCTTTCAAGGTTTTAATGCCTTTTTTCTATAAGTTTTCATTATTTAATATTTTTTCAAAAAGACAGTTTAAAATGGGATTCTTTTTTTTATATCATTCTTCATTTTGTGCATTTTTTTCATGTCAGTTATAATCCCCATGGGCTTCCCACCACCAATTCATGAGTCATCACCACAGTCCAGTGCACTCTTCTCATCCCAGTTCCACACCCATTCCCCCTTCTACCTCCATAAAATGTCTCTGGTTTATAGTTGTTCATTGTTTTCATTTTTACTCTGTTACATTTGTCTCTCTTTCCCCCAAACCCACCCCCGATCCCTTACACTCTTGCTTTGAGTGAGACAATCCAGTAACTTTCTTTTTCTTTCTGGGTTATTTCACTAATCATGATCTCTTCCAGCTCCATCCACGCTGCTGCAAAAGACATGAGTTTATCTTTTTGACTGCTGAGTAATATTCCATTGTGCATATGTACCACATCTTTTTAAGGTGGGATTCTAAAGTCCAATTAAAAGAAATTAAAATAATTTCAAAGCCTCTTCCACCAAGGGCTAATAATTCACTCATATTTTGTAGTCTATAAGTATGTAAGATGCATTACTACCTTAATCTAACATAGATCCACCCTGAAACATGGCTCATCATTGAAGCTTCCAATTTGGTAGGTCATGGAGAACATCATTGTGAGAAGATCCAACACTAGGTTCTATATTTAACAGCTATGTGACCTTAGGGGGAAAGCAGGGTAAGCCTGAATCTCAGCTTTGTGCAGGGAAAATAAGGCTTATAAATAACTATCTCACAAAGGCTCATCAAAATTTCATCAAAAGAATTCCTAACGAGTGCCTGACACATCATAAACTTTGAAAAATCACAGAAGCCATTTCCTCCTAGCAGAGGGGATGTCTTCAACTTGCTTCGTGCCCCCATACCCTTCAAGGTTCTTGTATTATTTGTACCTTACTCGATCCTCATTCAACTCTTACAGTACAAAAATCAAAAATTACTGCCTCATTTTTCTTTTCTCTTATCCTTTTTTGTAAACCGACAAGGAAACTGAAGCCCAAGGTCACAAAACTCAGATGACCCAGACCTCCTTTTTGCTCAATAACACAAACACATATTCTCAACTGACTTCATGTGTCATGCCTGGATGTAAAAAACTAAATTTCTCTTAAAACACTGCTATTCATATTTTCATCAAATCCAAACTGATATTTCCATCTCACTTCCAATTATTTAGATTTTGTTTTGCAACAGTTAGCAGCTAAACTTACTTAGTGCTTAATATATATACGTATATATGTGTGTATATATACATGTGTGTTTATAGCTATATAAATATATCTATATCTATCTATATATAGAGAGAGAGAGAAAAAAAGATATAGATATGCCCTGGGCCAGGTGATCCACATCCACTGCCACCTCAAACGCCATAACGATCATCTAAGGGGGACACTGTCATTGCCTCCATTGCACTAATAGGGAGATTAAGGTAGAGCTAAGTCCAAGACTGAGATACAGAAGGGTTTAGGATGCTGGGATTATCCAAATAGCATTTTCATTGACTGCACATTGTGCAAAGTGCTCTAACAACAAATCTGACACAGGAAGGCCCCGGTTATCTGTGTTCTCTTTTATACTTAAGAAATCCGAGGTGCTGAGAGAAGTGTCTGAAGTTACAGGCCCTCTCCTGGCCCGACAAGGACGCTACACGGCTCTCCCTAAAGCCAGTCTCTTAAAAGTTTCAGATTCCTTTGCATATATTTGAAGAGTGCGAAGGTAGATGTCCTGTCATTCTAGAAAAGAAAGCAGCCCTCGCTGGCCTCAGCACCGATCCAGAGCGTGACCCAAGCTCTGGAAGTGGACTCTCTACCCCGCAGTGGGCGTTCCAGTCGCCAACTGGGAAGTGGAAGGGAGACGAAAACTGTTAGCAGAGCAACCCCTTGGGGAGGTGCCAGCATCACGTTCCTCATCCCACTCCCACCGCTTCCGCCAGGCCCCAGACCTCGGGGTCGCCTGACCTGAGACCAGCGGGTGCGCGGAGGAGTGAGCCCCACCACCCGAAGCCGAGACTGCGCGGGGTGGGGAAATGCTCCAAACCCCAACCACGCCTACCTCCGGCACCGGGACCCGCCACCCGGCGCGGGTGCGAGCAGCGCTGTTTCCAAAACTGCAGCCGCTGGGATCTCAGCACTGTCCTGCCTCCGTTTCCCTGCTAATGAAGACACACCCCTAGACCTACACGCCCCCCTGAGTGCGCCCTCCCGCCTGACACCCCAGTCCTGCCAGACCGCGGTGACAGCGCCCCTACCTGTGCGGTGAGCCCCGCTGCCACCCGCCGGGGCGCTCTGCGGACCCCCGCCCGGCATGCGCCCCGCGGGCTCCTCCCGCTGCGCCTCCGCCGCCTCCAGCTCCCCAGCTGCGCGCCGGCTCCGCGCGCCGGGAGGCAGGCGGAGGGCGAGAAGAGCGCGGCGCTGGACGGGAAATGGGGAGGGGGCTAACGAGGAAGGGGGAGGCTCCTTCCTTCTGCTCCGCGAGGCGGCAGTTTCCTTCCTAGAATCGGTGCGCGCGCGCACACACACTCACACGCGCGCGTACTTACACACGCGCACTCACACACGCGTGCGCGCACTCACACGCGCGCGCACACTCACACGCGAGCACGCGACCTGGCCTGGCCGCAACCTGGGGAAAGTTTGCTTTTTGCCCTGGCGGGTTTCTAGATTCTGCTGCAGGGAAGCCGGGTGGGGGCCCCGCGGGTGCGGGAAAGGAGAGACTCTGAGGTCTTCCGGGTGGGCTCCACTGAGCGCCTCCAGAAGCATGATTAGGGAAGTTACCAAACGGTTGATGGAAGCCAGCGAAAATGAAAGGGACTCGGTTATGCAAGGTAGGAAGTAAAAAGGGACATGACAGACGTCCCTCGCAAAGATGAGCAGGAGCAGATGTTAAAACATGTTATGTGAACCTAACTTTTTGAATCTTCCGAGAACTGAACGGGTCCGAGAGCCCCCTCCGCATGCTGGGCAGCAGCCCAGGACACAGCTTGCGGTCCACGCTGAGCTCCTAGGCCCCTGCATCACCTCCTTTCCTTCTCTTTGGGTCATTCAAGAAGGCTCATGAAACAGTCCTTAGGTAGTACCTGCCTGAAATGGTTCTTGCCCTTAAGAAGCTCCTCTCCTATCAGGAAGATAAACCTGCACGTTTAAAACTAAATAACATGCAGTAGACATGCCAAAAACTAAGGTTTGGCACCAAATGTGTTGCAGTTCAGATATAAGGGGTATTGTGAAGGATGAGGAAGACTTTCTGGAGGAATGAGAAGGATCTCTCTAGAAATAGAGGAGGAGCTTCAGAGATGTCTTCAAAAGAACCTTGAGAATGAAGCTATATAGGCTTGACTGCTTACAAATCAGTGTGTCCTGGGACAGAGTGACTATTAGCGTGGTTATTAAGGATGGGGGAAATGGTGGAAGTAGCATAAAGTTGTTTCAAGCTAGATTTAATTTGATATCAACTTCTGAACAGAAATCTGAATTCAGTGCTGTAGAGGGAGGAATTACAAGGAGCTCTTACAGTTGGTTTGTTAGTTAACTGAATGAAGGGGAAATACCAGAAATGCTGTAGCATACTTCACTGGAAGAATACCAAAGATTAGGAAGAATGGATATTTATCATTAAGTGCCGCTTATCCACCACCCACTGGGGTATGCAGGTGGGGGATTGCCTAGAGGAGACTTCTTGCCTCGACCCTCGGAAATAACTTTTTGGCCCAGCATCCTTGGTCACTCTTCTCTGCAATCAGACATCACAGTAAGCACTGTGGTCACTGAAGTGGGATTGTTAAGTGCCAAGGGGATAACTGGATCCTAGAGTGGCTGGGACCAAATGGTGGCAATGAATCACCAAAGGCAAGGTGGACATGTTGCGGTAGTGGACAGTAGAGTCAAAGCAGCAACCAGAATAGTCTCATTCCCACCAACTGACCACATTGACAAGTTGATCGTGGTGTTCCCAGAAGTGAAATAGGTGGGAAGACTATTAAATTCTCACCATATAAACAGAAAATCTTTTTAAAACAAGCGACCAAACTGAGCAAAAGTCTAACTTGAATTACAAAGCAGAGAGACTCAACCCTTTAATCAGTTTCCTGGCTTGAGTCACTTTACAGATCCAAAATTCTTTGAATGAACATTGGTCTCCTCTAGGAAAGACCGTGTGGCACTGTTAAGTACGTACTCTTTTAATTTTTTTTTAGCCTAAACCTCAAAGGGACAGACATATGGTCTTTTACCAATGTGAGAAGAGGTACAAACTTTGCAAGAATTACTGCACACTGTACTGACACTATTTATTTCCATGAAGCCCAACATATTACTGTGATCCAACAGTCAGGTAACTGATAGGTTTAGGTCAGGCCATTTCACAGTGGGTACAGTGGGTCCCTGAACGTATCCTGTGGCTATTCGTCCAGTTCTGGAATATGTCACTGGAACAGGCATATTAAACAACTGGCAGAATCCCCACATTGATTCCGTGCTTGTAGAATAAGTAATATTCTGGTGGGGAAGGTCAAATGGAAGCCACTTCAACTTCTATCTGGGTAAAGAGCTAACAAGGCCCCTCCCTGGTGGTGCAGAAGTTAAAGGCAGAGTTATCAAGCTATTGCCAGCCACTGCAGCACAAGTTTGATTCAGACCAGCCAGGGAGCTGACCCACATGGCGAAGCATACCTCTCCTGTCTCTTCCGCTACTCCCCTCAGCAGTGTATTTCTGCTCCCCACTCTATATCTGGTGAGTCCTCCCACCCCCCTCACCTCTGGCTTGTACCCCACTTCTTGTATGCCTAAATAAATAATTTCTTTTAAAAAAGAGTTAACCAGAAGCAATTCCAAGATAGATTTGAAAAGAACAGTGTCACCATCAAGTAATAAGAGATACAAGCATGATGAGTCCCACCATATACCCATTCAACATGCCTCTGTGGCCCGTGCAGAAAACAGATGGCTTTTGAATAATGATGGATTATCATAAACTTAGCCGATGGTGAGTCCAGTTGCAGTTGCTACCAGAAGTAGTTTCATTGTTTGAGCAAATTAGCACTTCCCCTCGTATCTGGTATGTAACTCTTGATCTGTCAAATGATTTTGCTCCAGTTAATAAAGACCACCAAATGCAGCTTGCTTTCAGCTCTGCCATTCTAAAAGTATTAGTTCCAAAGGGAGGAATGCTTCCACCAAGATTTATAATGATTCCACTGAACTGGAAATTAAGATTGCCACCACAACATTGGGGTCTCATCTTGGAATCAATAGGCAAAGGATGATGTTCGCTGAGTGTTTGATTGATCCTGACTACCAAAGGGAAATAGAAGTTGCTATTCTACAACAGAGGCAAGAAAAATATGTCTGTGTGTAGAGGATCCCTTGCTGCATCTCTTAGGATGACCAGGCCCTGTGACTGAGGTCTGTGAAAAACCTGACAAACCAATTCAGACAAGGCTACTCATGGCCCAGGCTCTGAAAGACTGGTTTCTGTCAACCCCACCCCCACCCCCACAACAAGCAAAGTTATCTGAATGGGTAACTAAAGAAGGTAGTGGCAAATACCACAATAATCACATGGCTAGTTAAATACAGAGGAGTGCAATTTTCATGAGAATTTCTTCCTAATTTTATTATGATGATATATGTATGTATGAATCAGGCCAGAAAGAAAATGAACATATTTGACATATATTGTATCTGTTTTCTTCCATTCCTTCTCCACTTACCATGTAAACTTTATTAATAATAACCAAATTTACAGCACTATTTTAAGTTTTAGGATGTGAAGAGGAAAGAACTAAGGACTATGAATCTTCTAGGGAGAAAGTACATTTTTATTTGTGCTAAGGACAGCTGCATCGTTTAGTGAAAGTACTTTATTATTGTCTTTATTCAGAAACTAAGAGTGGTTTAAGGAGATGTGTATGGGTGTTGGGAAGAGGTGAACTGAACCTTGACGTTTTTACATATTAAGATGTGTGAGCCTTAGAACCCAGCCATCTAATCACACATCAGAGTGTTCCTGCAAAGGCATTTCTGTAGACATGTTTACATGTATAGACAACTGACTTTCACTGAAGCATATCTTCTATAATGTGCATCCATCTCTTCCAAATAGTTGAAGCCTTTAAGAGTAAAAGCTGAGATTTCCAGGAAAAGAAAAAAAAAATCTGCCTTAAGAACAAAGCCTCAACGCCCGCCTTAGTTTCTAACCTTATAACCTGCCCTAACGATTGCAGATTTGCCTGCCCTGGCAGTAGTGTGAGCCAACTCCTTAAAAGAAGTATCTTTCTTTCTCCCTCCTGTCTTCTCGATAGCTAGCTATCCATTGCTCCTTTTTCTCCCAGTTTCTTGCTCTTTCCTTTGGTTCTCCTTGGTAGCTTCGCTTTTCCCATCCCCTATTTTAGATTGCCCCAGAATGGCACCCTTGACTCTCTTCTCTTTTTCAGCATACTTGTCCTGATTCTCTCAAGACTTCCCAGGTTTCAACTACCTTAATGAAACCTCACTAATTATCTCTGACTGAAACTTCACTCCCAAACCCCAGGTTCACATTTCCACCTAGAGGGTCTGCTTGTCTCTCAAATGTAATCCTATTTTCTCCCATGCATTTCCAAACCTGCTGTTTTCCCTGTACTAATTTTTTTCCAAGACAGCTGTATTCTTGTCCCCTTCCCCTCAAGTTGGAAACAATGTTGCATGTTCATTCACCTCATTCTTTGTATTCTCTGGCTGAATCCTGTCCATGTTGCTTGGGAAGTGTCTCCAGTGGTGTCCCCTGCTCTAGTTCCACTATCTGTCAATTAGACTGACAAGGTTTTTATTATATTTTCAACTGCTGCCTGATATCAACACTGATTATCTAAGAAGCCATTCAAACTCTCCAAGTTCAGATACTCCCATCAATTCCCCCTCAACCTTGTACTTCCAACTGTGTTCCCCCACTCCAGTGCTGGCCTCTGGACAACTAATCAACCTTGCAACACAGTCTGAAATGCTTCCTACCATGTGGTTAAGAGCATAGTCTCTGCACCCGGAAAACAGCATACTTATCTCAACCTCACTACTTCCTAGCTGTGAACCTCAGGAAATCATTTAACCTTGCTAAGCCTCAGATTGCTTATATGCAAGAACAGTATTACCACATGAGAGAGTAGAGAAGAAGGAGCCATGGTAACATGGTATTTAAGAAATAAAATTATATAAAACTTGGCAACTGACTATTGAGAATAACTGAGATGAAAGCACATCTCAGACACTGTTACACAATTTCAACTTGTTAAACTTATTTCATCTTTGCAACAAACCAATTATTACACATCCATTTCAGACTAGATAACTGAGATAACACAGCAATTCAGACTGTGTTGCAGGGTTGATTAGACA